ACATTACCTGGAAGTATCAAGAAAAATAATTTCATGTTTTATTTATACTGTTACTACAGAATTGAGGCAGTTGTATGTGTGTTAAATAATAAAAATAGATTTCTTACATATACATTAAAACATGCAACAGATGGTTAAAATGAAACTTCAACATTCATTTAACTGAATGTACAGAGGATTGGTTTATTGAATTGGCCCTGAATTGAAGAAGGAATGTTGAATATAATTCCAAATGTACTGTGTATCTACATAAAATGTGGAAAACTTTTAGTCAAATGTATTTGTAATCGAGATATCTCTGTGAACTGCCAATGTCACTCAGACTCTGACAGGTCAAATTGCAAGATGATACTATTATGAAGAATAAAAGTACTTTTGTTCATTCCAAGGTTTCCATATTGCATTTCCATAATCTCTAGAAATGTATATCTACATCCAAAATATATATCTACAGTTTTTTCAGTATCCCTGTATACTGCGTTTGGTTTTCCTCTACCACAAATGTTGTCAATTGAGCAGTGTAGGGTAAAATGAACAGTTGATAACTCTTACATCAAATACATAACACCGTGTTGAATGGCACTCTCTAAAAGGTCACGCATGCACACTTTGACATCTACCCATGTACATAGGGTTAAGATACATGGAAACATTCTATAACCAATCATATTCTAATTAGATGAATTATTGTACAAAAGCTATCAAAACATTTATTAGTTTCAGCATTTATAACTACTTCTGTATCTAATTAGATATGATTGTTAGTTATGTAAATTTACTAGTCTTTCGGGTATGTGATAGATGAGTTATATCAATCTGCTTGCCTGTAGGAAATATGATTGGTAGAAAGTTGTTCTGCATGTCCGTCAGATATGGCCAGGTGGTTAGGGCACTTGACTCACTATCTGAGGGTCGCGGGTTCGAATCCCCATCCCACCAAACATGCTTGCCCTTTCAGCCATGGGGGCGTTATAATGTGAAGGTCAATCCCACTATTCGTTGGTAAAAGAGTTGGCGGTGGGTCGTGATGACTATGATGACTAGCTTCCTTCCCTCTCGTCTTTCACTGCTAAATTAGGCATGACCAGTGCAGATAGCCCTTGTGTAGCTTTGCACAAAATTCAAACCAAACTGTCAAATATGACTGTTAAACTGTATCGTTTTAACAATCTGTCAGAGATATGATTGTTGAACTGTGTTATCTGTTGCTCTGTCAGTGATATGATTGATGAACTGTGTTATCTGTTGCTCTGTCAGTGATATGATTGATGAACTGTTTCTTCATATAGTAAGAAAACTAAAAGATCATTGGACTGACATAGGCTATTTATTTGGTAGAGGTTAGGGATCAGTCAAGGAACAGTTGATTAAAGTAAATTATTAACGACTGTTGAAGACAATGAAAGTGAAATAAAAGCAGTTTGTGAAAAAGATCATCAAATAATCAATTTTTTGCCAATCAGCAAACTATAGACATTGTCAACTCTAGCACCATTTAGTAACATCTTAATAACTCCTTTTTTCAACCCCAGCAGGAAGTAAAAGGACAGCCAGTAAGTTAACTGTATTTTATGATAAAGTATCCGCTGTGACAAAAAATGTTGTTTATTTGCTCACTGTTATTTCTTCCCTTTGTTGTCGAGTTTAATTTATTCTCTGTTCAACTATCCAGAATATGCACCATATCATTATTGAGGCAAGGTAAAACAGGTAAACATACCAGTGATTAAAGGGATGATAAAAGAGGTCCCATCTCCTCAAATGTTCCAAGCAAGTTGTGGCTTGGAATATATGGACTCAGAAACAGACAGTGCAATGTCCTAGACTCAATGCTTCAGATCATTTGGATGAAGAATAACTTGATGGCTGAGACATAACTGTCAAAGAATTGCACTACAGATTTGATTCTGTCATGAATTAAACAATCTACAAAGCTGCATTCAATGCTAAAAGATCAGGACTGAAAGAGAAGTTGGCTGTTTATAGGGACAATGTAAGGAACGTGCATGGAAAGGCATTCTTTAACATGTCTCCCACAGATTGTGATTAAATGCTCATTGCTGAGTTCATGGAGGAGTGCTTCAATATTTATATTGAAAAGCTAAACTAAATGAAGGGTTCATGCTCGCTAAAGCAATTTGTTTTTATAGGCAGAATAAAAATATATAATAACCTTGGAGTAGTTATCAAAAAGCACGTGAATGAAGAAGGAATGACGGTTTTGGATTTTTACCATTGTGATAGGAAAGGTCACTCAGCATTCTCAGAGATATATAAAGAGATGTGAATTGTTAAATCTATATGGGCTAAAGTAGTAACCATCTCTCTTCTTTTTCTCAAATCGCTCTCTAACAGTCCCGATTTCTTATTTATTCTTATAAACAACTCATGTATGGGTTGTCACCTATGATCAAGAAACAAAGGAAAGTCACGCCGATTAAAACTATTATTATGCGAGTTGCGTCATTTCCTGTTGAAAAAAGATAGGCAAAAGTAGCAAGTACTTGATTCAATAACACTGGTAAAACAGTTTATTGAAACTTAGAGTACACTGAGTGGTCACAAGTAAATAGACACCTAGTTTTTCGTCATTTAACTGATTTATGCTAACTAATTTGTGTTCACAGAGCACTATATAAATGAAAATGGTCCGCACAATAATTATCTTGTGCTACAACATGCCTAGAACTCAAGATTCTCTCGAATTGTCAGATTTTGTTAGAGGAAGGATAGTTGGTCAAGCAGATGGTGGAATAAGTCAGCGGCAAATTTTTCAGAATTTGGGAATCCCGCTTTCGACAGTCAACAGAATCATCATGCAGTTCAGAAAACACGGCAAGGAAACAACTGATCAGCGTCTGGGTCGTCCTGGTCCATCGGAGAGGACAAAAAGGGCTGTCAAGAGGAGCATCGAAATGGATCCCATATTAACGACTGCAGAAGTGGCCAAAGTTGGTGGGATGAGCCCGAAATCTGTTCAACGGATTCTCCACAGATTGAGTTATCGTTGCAGAGCAGCTAGACGAAGCCCTTATTAAGACCTGCCAACATAGTCAGACGAAAGAAGTGGGTAAGTGATATGATGACCAAGCCTCTGGACTTTTGGAAGACCGTATTGTTCTCAGACGAATCAAGATTCGCTCAGTTTTCGGACAGTGGAAGGATATGGGTCTGGAGAATGCCTCACCAAGAGTTTTGGCTCAACAGATTGCAGCCAACTGTGAAGCATGGTAGTTTCAGAGTGATGGTTTGGGGAGCTGTTTGGGTTGATGGGAGATCGAGCTTAATGGAGTGCGTTGGCAACATAAATTTTGCGAAATACGTCGAAATATTGGAGGAAGGATTCTTGCCACTTTATTCCTCGGGTTTCGTGGACAAGAACACAACGTTGTTCCAGGAAGATTGAGCACCGTGTCACACTGCTAGAAACACCCAAAAGTGGCAGGAAGAAAATGGTATCCAGAAATTGCCCTGGCCGAGTCAATCTCCTGACATGAACCTCATCGAAAACCTATTGGCCATACTCGACCGGCAAGTCAAGAAACAACTAAAAAACCAACTTCGAAGAGCGATCTACTCCAAGTTTTGAAGCAAGAGTGGGCGAAAATTCC